TCTTGCTGAAAAAACTGGAAAGTGATAAATGTTATTAAATATTAGAGTTAAATAATTAAATTAATATTGCACATAAATTAAGAATTGTGTAAACAAAATATGTTGTTCATTTTAAATAAATATTGTGTAATTAAAATATACAAATATAGAAATAGATATATTACATAAAGCGATATTCTAAAAAAAGACTAGATTTTACTAGATTGTATTATCCAAGATCGTGTCCAGGACTAATAGAAGATTTAGGATATTGTACAATTATTACTTTCTGCAGGCTGATCCTGTTTGTTTGAAAGTACTTTATCTCTTTCATCCCATAGTGAAAGTCCATCGCAAGCACAAATCTTTTTTGTATTTTGGAATAAACCAGATGAGCGAGCAATAATACCACAAGCTAATCTAAATATAACATAAATTATACAAATTATTATAGTGTGGTAATGTGATAATATCTCTGCTTACCTATTTCCACTGTTTCCATCTATTTTAGATGTTAAGTCATCTCCTTTTCCTAAATCATCTGGATTTTCAGTTATAACTAAAGACCGCCCAATAATATCAGATATTTGTACAAGTTTATCAATTATCCTAAAAGTAGCTCTCCCAGATTTATCTGCTGTTATGTTTCCCAGATCTCCTACATGCTATAACAACAATTCTTCTTAACTAATCATTAATTATTGTACCATGTTAGAATAATTGTCCAGTAAAAAGAATTACCCTCTTAAACTTATCATCATTAGGTCCACCATGTACTGTTTTATATGGATTAAAATGTTCTCCAACACTAAAAATATAACATGACATAAATAATAGGTAATAACAAAAGCAGTAGAATGAAATTAAGAAAGTAGTATTACCTATCGCAACCTTGAGAAATATCACCACATTCATGTATGTGCATACCATGTTGTCCAGGTCTTAAACCATCAATTGTTCCATCTATAAGGCATCCATCAGGTATTTGCGCAAATCTTATTACGCCTAACGTTTTATCACCTATGCTATATCCTGAATTTCCTCCTAACATCGCAACGGCACTTGTACCATCTGTCATATTAGCCATTTTTCAACTATTACAGAAAAAAACATGCTTTTATATTATGGCATTTAATTTACCTCCGTATCCTTTTAAGACAGCTTGTCTTCCAGTTTGTTCAATTTTTTCTTGGATTATGGAATACGGTAAATTTGTTTCGACTATGACGTTACTTTTTTCCAAAGATATATCAACTTTGTCAATTCCATTTACGCCAGATAAAATGTTTTGTATCGAGTCGACACATTTTTGACAAGTCATATTCACCGCAAATTCAATCTGAAATGAAAGTATAGTATATTTTTATGTATTGCTATCTTGTTTCTAACTTAATTTTTATAATGTACCTTTGCTACAGTCATTTTGATATTTCTGTACGTTATTTCGTGAGCAAAACGAATTTCTTTATGTTGTGAAACAAGATAAATTGTTTATCGCTTTGAGGTTACGGCAGGTTACGGTACGGTTTTACCCTTATATGTATTGCTCGTTTCACCTATACAGTAGCAACATGTCTGTGTTATCAAAAAGACAAGAAGAGGGGATGACTGAGTACATGCTGAATACATGTTACGCGTTACGCAGCAAGCAGCAAACTAATTAAGATCAGGTCCTGTTGCCTAGGTAACCATACCATATACTGTTGACGTCACAATAGCCTGCAGTGACGTCAGGAACGTAACACAAGTAGCTATGTTTACAGAAAAATTGAACTTGAATTGTCCCACTCCAAACGATTTGAACAAAGATGCAAGTAGCTTTGCACAGTAAAATACTGAACAGATTTATCAGACTGCATCAAACAGGTATGTACATACGTACAATACTATTACTGGAGTAAAAAAAAGAACACGGGAATAACAAGTTTTCATGAAAATCATGAAAGTGATGCTTATAACCAACTAAAGTTCAAGTTTCAAAAACAAACTAAGTATAGACATTATAGATTGAAAGCGTCATTCTCGAAATAATTCAATTTACAATTAATTGTAAAGATTTTATAATATATTTCGATGTTTTTATGATTATCAACGTTCTTCAATGCAATATCGTAAACTATAATGTAGCAGATGTATAACCTTGCGTACGGGATAACGTGAAACAAATGTTGAAAATAATTAAGAAGCAGAAAAAAAATAAAATTCTACTAGTGTGAAAAGATTTGGAATAATAGAAGCAATTTAAGCGAACAAGGAGAATTTAAACTAATATAAAGTAGTGGAAGAAAATCAGTAGGAGGGGGTGGAAAGCTTTGTACGGTTTGTACGCAGAAAGACTGGCAGCACCGGCGCTTCAAGAAACGTATCCTCGCATCTGTGCCCTCGGTACTCTCGGTAGTGCAACGCTCGTGCTAGTTTTCTTTCGAAAGGGCTCCAGAGAGGAAGGTAGAGTGGGGGGTGCAGGCAAGAGGTCGAAAACGAAAGAATATTGTGCCCGATTCTAGGACTTCGATCTCGTTAAGAATTTTTAATAACCGTGACGCGACGCAGTCGTGGGAATTAAATGGACGAAAGGCGAGGAGATACAACATGGTGTGGAGACGCGCATCGTAAAGCAGGTTCGATTCGACGGACGTAAGAAGGAAGAAGGTAATAGGAGAGAGGTGTACAGAGGAAAAAAGAAGAAAATAGGTGCGTGAGGACGCGTCGTGAGTCGTCGCCGTGCGGGTGGGAGGCGAGGGCGACGGCGGCGTGGTGAAAGCTCGAACTAGGGAAAAATTCGGCGGTAACCGGTAGCACGGAGAAGCTGCCAAGGTGTTCCGAAGCGCAGCAGCAGCGGCCCAGGATGCTGCCCGACGGAGCAAGAAAATGGCCGTGATCGGCGAGCAGAGATATTACACGGCGGTCCGTGCGAACGCGTACACGGAGTTATCGTGTCGTAGGTTCGAGGTGGCGACAGCTATATCGCCGACCACCTCGTCCTCGACGTTATCGTCCCGTCATTGTCGACAGAGGAAAAAGCTACATTCCGTCGAGTTAGCTATGTCCTCTTCGCGGGGCAGCGGCCCAGAATCGGGGGAACTGAGCGATTCCGAGGATGGCTATTTAGACACGGATCCGCTGAGGTATGAGCTAAAAAATATACAAAATGTGATACACGTCACTCGGCAAAACATTGACGCTCTAAACAACCGGTTCGCTGGATTTCAAGATCCACCTTCGATATATTTAAGTGAATATCAAGAGTTAACTACCAAGCTGCATGATTTAGAATGTAAGGAGCAGAAACTCAATGAATTGTTGAATGCTGGGCGAGTATCTGGTAGTGCTTCGACATCAGAGAGTGAATCTCGTGATGTTAATGCATCTGCTAGAGGCCAGAGAACGCCTATGAGATCTCTGCTCAGGGCACATTTACCTAATCAACAACGTACAAGCGTACAGGTTCGCGAAGGACTTTCATTAAGGGATGCACTTGCCAAAGCAATGAAATTAAGGAATTTAACGACAGAAATGTGTGTAGTATATATCCTGGGTGAAGGTAAAAACAAATACATTACTTCCTGGGACACGGACATCTCTTTGCTTGATTGCGATGAAATATCTGTGGAGATCATAGATAAGTTCCCTATAGCTACTTCCATTTCACATAATTTTGTGCGCAAGACTTTCTTCTCATTAGCATTTTGTGAATGCTGTAGAAAGCTACTATTCCAGGGATTTTATTGTAGAACATGCAATTATCGATTCCATCAAAGATGTGCAGCTGGTGTACCTGCTTTGTGCCACCAAGTACGCATGCAGGATGCGTATTATCAAGTGTTGCTGGCACATAATCTTGAAAGTACTGCTGGAATATTGCAACTTCCTTCTGGATATGGATTAAGTAGAAGTATGTCTCCATCCCTCGCTCCATCAAGAAATCGAAGGCATCTACGTTCTTTGGGACAACAAGATCGTTCAAGTTCTGCGCCTAATGTTTGCTTCAATATGGTAAAGCCAACTGGAGAGTCTGTTAATCTAGACGAATATAGTAGATCTCAGAGTTTAGGTCGACCTGTGACTATCACGCAAAGTGCTGCTTCGCCTGGTAGCAGTCCAACTAAACACAGTCAATCGACGCAGGCTAGTCCCACCAGTACCTTGAGGCCAAAAAGACCAAGAGCAAGATCAGCAGATGAATCATCGAAAAATCTGTTAGCACCTAGAGAATCCATAGAGGATTGGGAAATCCCAGCAGATGAAATTTTAATTGGAGCTCGTATTGGATCGGGTTCTTTTGGAACAGTATACAAGGCTCACTGGCACGGACCTGTAGCTGTGAAGACACTCAATGTTAAGATCCCGACTGCTGCTCAATTGCAAGCATTTAAGAACGAGGTTGCAGTTTTACGTAAAACGCGACATGTAAATATTCTTCTGTTCATGGGATGCGTCAGCAAACCGAAGTTAGCAATTGTTACTCAATGGTGCGAGGGTTCTTCGCTGTATAAACATTTACATGTATTCGAGACAAAGTTTGATCTGTTTACATTGATCGAGATCGGAAGACAGACTGCACAAGGAATGGATTATCTGCATGCAAAAAATATTATCCACCGAGACTTGAAGAGCAACAACATATTCCTGCACGATGACCTCACTGTGAAAATTGGAGATTTCGGCTTGGCCACAGCGAAAACTAGATGGTCTGGCTCTCAACAATTTCATCAACCAACAGGATCTATCTTGTGGATGGCACCAGAAGTCATAAGAATGCAAGAAGAAAATCCATATAGCTTTCAGTCAGATGTTTACGCATTCGGCGTCGTTCTGTTCGAATTGTTATCTGGGCAATTACCATATTCCCATGTTAATAACAAGGATCAGATATTGTTCATGGTTGGACGTGGAAACTTGCGTCCGGATTTGAATAAATTGCGTTCAGATGCACCGAAAGCATTGAAAAGACTGACAGAGGATTGCATCAAATTTTCTCGAGACGAGAGGCCGATATTTCGTCAGATCTTAGCTAATTTAGAAGGTCTTTCGCGTTTGCCGAAAATTACGAGATCAGCATCTGAACCAAACTTAAACAGAACGCAGCTTAATTCGGATGATTTTGTATACACTTGTGCTTCGCCAAAAACTCCAGTGAACTTTCAGTTCGGAGCGTTCTCCTTTTATCCTTCCGGTGGAAACATATAAGAAAAACTATTGTCTGAAATAATGAGAATCCGACACGCTCGCATAAAATTAAATATTTACAGAATTTTAAAACAATAACAAAATTATAATAAATTTAGCTATGAACAATCTGCGCAATTCTTTCCGACACTTTGACTGTGTTGCAACTGTTCGCTCGATGTAGAACGTGATTATAAAATACCTAATGCAATTAAGAAGAAAAAATAAATAAGAACAGAAAAATTCATCTCATTACTTAGACAGCTGCTTTGATATATGAATAACGAGAATTGGATTATCATTAGCCTTTGGTATATAAATATTCTTTTTTGTACGTGTTTCAAATGTTTATTTTTTCCTTTATTGTCTTTTTCAATGAATTTGCTACTTCCCCTCGATCTTAAATCTAATTTCATTTGTTTATTTTTCTTAATGTCATTATTTTTAGTGTAAAGAATCTAGGTAAATCATCAACGACAATCTGTTGATAAATTTGTTTAAATGCAGCTTGCTGATCAACTTTATATCATGCTCATCATAAACATTCACGATGAAATCTAATTTTGAACTATTTTCTTTACCAATTTCTGTTACTATTATATATAAATCTAACGTAAAAAATAATTTGATGTCCGTGGTAGTAGTATTTTTGACAAAAATATGCGATTTTTGGCAAATTTAATAGTTTCAGTTTCAGATAATGTTTGAATACCATTGGCTAAACCTGTATGTACCTTCAGTTACTGTTACTAAAAGCCGATATTTTATCAGTAAATTGCATTCTATTTTCACTTTTTAAACTATCATTAGTAAAAATTATAGTATTTATCATATTATCATGTTAAAGTCAGGACTTGGTGTTCTTAATACGTACATTAAGAGCTCCTCAAAGACCATGTTATAGACGGTCTGCAATAAAACTTTTGTTATTTGTTAGACATTCTTGCAGTTTTTATGAATGGTTGTATTCAGGATGCGTGCTTCATTCAGCAATTCATCTTATTAATTGACGTATCTGATGTATCTCATGACAAGATGCATGTGTAGCTTTTACCTTTACAATATTTACTATCTAATGAGAGAGATTTTCGTTTGTCGACTTTACTCGCTCGTGTATAAAAGCATATTCATAAATAGCGCGAACGAGCGCGCGTGTACACGTATCGGTGTAGAGGTCTGTTACTTTTGCGGAATCCTTATGAAGGATGTAAAAATAATGTAAGTAATAGGAGTAACGGCATTTAAATTCGCACGGGCCGTGTCGTTTGTCTGCGAAGTATTTTTGCAAACGCCGAAGTGATTTTTGTACCTACTTCCTTCATCTGTCTTCAATATGCTCACGTAACAATTGTTCCTTCTCATAAATTATAATTTATAGTTTAATGTTAAAATTGTACATAGGTTTTCATTAAAAGATTACATATATTGTTTTTGAAAGTGACATGTAGACAGTTTAAAATTATACTAACTAATAGTTATTTTGTAGCGTAATACATTTTACAACAATTACCTCCTTTTTTGTAGTAATTGTTTTTCCATATTTACTAATAATCATATTCGACTGATTTTTGTACATATTTCCTTCTATTAGAAGTAAATCTTTTTGGTCGTAAGAAAACCGAAAGATTGTATTGTATTAAAAACATGACAATTCAAATTGAAAGTCAAATAAAAGATGATGCGTGTAGGTATGTATAGTTGGTCATTACTTTAAGACTTTATCGACATTACGAACTACGATAAATCGTTCATTAGTCGTTCTGTGTTGATTTGATTCGAGACATCGTTACGAATTAGGGGCCTAAAAATCATTGTAAACATTTATCGCAATTACTAACGAGAGTAACATCGCGTTGCGATTTAGATTGGAAACGAGATCGACTAATTTCCATTTACTTAGCTCCTCCCCTAACTTTTTAGTCGATTGTTCCTCGCATATTAATATTTATTCATTTTTACTGTTACCCTTTTGTAAGTTTTTTATCTGCTATATTTTTTGAGGCTCCGAATGCAGGAAGAGGCGCGAATTTCACTTCGAATTCGTATAGTTAATGAATGCCAGCATCGAACATCTAAGTTCTTATAACATGGCAATCGAAACTTTTGTTACGACTGAAAACGCGTTCAAGTTAAGACTCGACAAGCCGAAAATGCATAACATATATTATTAGGGAAATGCGCGCGAAGATTGCAACAAGAGTATGAAAGATGTATGTACAGCGAAAAAAAAGATTTTCGAAGTATACTGTATATCGAATTGTTTACGATCGTAATTCACAAAATGCGATTTCTAGTAGTAAAAAATATTAGCGGAACTTCATATACTATAATAAATCATACTTACTACGTAATAATTACGTATTGATTCGAACGCGTAAGCATCCTAAAATTTGAGATCAGCACGATGACGACAATTCGTCGCACGTCGATATACGTTTCTGAAGCGGCCTAAGGAGCAAACCTTCAGAATTTCATTAGTTAGAACGAGAGTTATTGTTTCTAAAGCACGTGGCATCCCGATGTATTATTTATTTATTTATATGTAATCCAAGTGTGATGAACTGCAATTAACAATTAAAAAGGAAGAACGAAAAGGACTTAAGTGCCGGATTTTAAAATCTTGTCGAGAATGCGTGAAGTAGTGAAAACGTGGCTCATACAGGGGAACGTGTGCGAATGAGGAGAGCAAGAGAGCGAGAGAAGTGAAGAGAATAGATAATGATAAAGAGAAACATAAGAAATACCGATGAACGCACTTGTCATTGTTAATGATGGTTTCATCTAATAGGGAACCAATGAATTGTAAAACACAAAATTTCTATGTTGCAAAAACATTATTAAAAGCATATAAAAAAATAATCGAAACGAGGAGGATACTGTGCGAGGTGCGGGGAATGATTATTTTAAAATGGTTTTCTGACATTTCTTTATTAGTGCAATTTACGGAGTACAAACCTTCATTCTCGATATAGAATGATAATACTGTATGATATTTAGAATTATAGACAAGAAAATTAAGTTCTGTATTCCTTGGTTGCGTTAACATATTGTTGTATTGTTTGTGTTTTTTTTTTAACATGATAAATCATTTGCAAACCTATTTTGTAGAGTACGATTTATTAATAGACTTTTGACAATGTCAATCAAAATTTGTTGACCCTCGGTTAATAATCTAGGAACAATATTCTTGTTTTTGACAATCGATTGTAGAAAGTAATAAAATTAATTATATTTGTTGTGAAACGCATTCGAATGGATAAAAAGTATGTAGGGACGATAAAGCGAACAGAATTAGTTATCCTCGCGCTGTGTGTCCTCCTTAATCAATCTTCCTATACGTCACTATCAAATTTTAAAAGATTCTCGGGAGACATTCCTTTGTACATTGCTTCGATGCGTAATTGTAAAAGGATTTGCAAACGATCACGAGTAGCAGAATGAGCTGAAAGAGTTGAATCTTCGAGAAGTCGAACTAAGTTAGAGCAGATATGACAGAAACAAGAAGTGAGACTAGTTTAGAAGGTTTGAAACAGAAAATTAAGTTCATTTACTGTTTATGAAGAACAGAGAAAATAAAAAAACAATGGAACTGTTTTATATGAACCTTAGATTTCAACTTGGACTTTTATTTGTAGTATTGGTGATGTTGGTAGATCTTTCTCTGTAAAAAGAATTTAAAAATACACGCAACGTCCCTTTCGAGAATATTTATTGCATCAGCATTGTTAATAATTTTATTGAAATATGAACAAACCATTAAATTGGACTTCTTCGAATTCTGTCATGAATCTCGATCGACTTTGACACGAGGAAACGATCGGATCAGAAATTTTTCGTTTGATCGACATACGTCGCTCGTATTGTAATAAGATTTCATCTTCGTTCTGTTCGAAATGTATGCTGAAACTGCTGTCGAACGAAATGCGTGTCTTGTAACGTGATAGCATGGCCGAGATTGAAGATACTTAATCAATCGTGATGATCGATTGATCATTGTATTCAGTAAAAAGAAAGAAAAAAACGAAAAAGTATGAAAAAATTGAAAGAAGCAAAAATAAAAAGATTGATTCTTCATGTATCAAACCTTGTTCTTTCTCTTGTGAAACATATCATTGATTAGTTTAGAATATTGACGTAAAACGAATTATATTATTGTTAGAACTCATAAAAGTGTTCATGGATACTACAAGTTAACGTTCACAATTAATAGGAATTCGATTAGAATTGTAATAATTTTTCAAATTGTACTTGAGCATCAAAGAGTAGATAAATCAATGTTAAACGTCAGTGATCGAACGAATCATTTGAAAAAAGTTACGAGTATCACTGCCTTAGGTAATAATCATTATATATAGTATACGCAATGATCTTTGAATGGCAATACGCGGATGTACCGCGTAATTGAATTTTTCGAACATCGTATTAAGTTTAAAGGCCCGTGAAATTTATTATATCATTGGATGCAAAAATACTGTTTGTTCCGCTAGACTACGATGAATTCATTGAAATTCATTGTTGCTTGATCTGCGGTAATCATCTAAAAATGATTGATAACAAGCTGTTTTCTTCTTAGTAAGTATGCATTTCATTTTAAGTCGACATTCTAACGTAAGTATGCATTTCACGTATATTTAATTACAAAATTGGATTATAAATTTGAATAATTATGAAATATTTAAGTTGATACATATATATAGTTATTGCGTTTCGAACGACAGTCTTAGGATACGTAAACATGACTTAATCTGCTGAGTACACGTGTACTATAACGACAACAGCAGCTTCTAAATGTAATCACGAAAACCAAGAATCCCTGTCGGAAGGTCGTGACATCGTGGGATTCCGGTAATCCTCTATAAAGTTCTCTACCCTTCACCTTGCGCTCCGAGCCTAATCCACACCGATCTATGAATACTAGATTAACCATGCCACGTGTTGTGCTTCATGAGATCTAACTTAATATTTATTATGGAATAAAAACCAGATGAATTCAAATAATTTAATCGATCAATAAAATGAAATTTAAACGTAGATAACATGTAATGTGATAACAGACACATAAAGATGCGCATTTATTTATTTTCAACCATTTACATACATAATATATTGCATCGCACATTCAGTTATAATTTGCGCTAACGAACTGTGTTGAAATCCATTTTTCATAAGGATATAATCTCATGTCTTATGCCGCGAGTGATCTATAGATTCGTGTAAATGAACGCACTCCACAGAGATAGCGCCGCGTCGAGTGTAAATCTACACATTGGTAACGCTCATGCATGCAATAGAAAATTTTGGTATTAGTGAGAACAGACATCTACGTGCCGCATGCTGTACGTACATAGAAATTATGTGCACATAATAACGAACGGCGATGAGCGTGTATCGTGTCCATGTTGTAACGTGCGTGCTTGTGATATTACAGAGGGAGCACGCATGCGCAGATTCAATTGGCGCCTCGACTGGCCGAATAGTCGATGCTGGAACTTCGTAGTGCGAGTGTCTGTGTTCTTTCATTCTTTGCGTTTCGCCGTCGTGAATTCGTACATGAATCATAACCACGTACATATACATAGTATACATGCATGGGATATAGAATAGGTAGAGTTTCGTTATGTACGATCGTCGCTGAACAGGTGGATGGGTGGTCGAGGTCGATCGCCTTGTTGCATGAAACGAGGTTAGTTGAATTCGAATCGAATTTCGGGTAACGTCGTCCCAAAAGAGAACGATATATCTATTCATCAGTGAAATAACGTTTTCGCTTCGGAGAAACGAATTACCCGTTGCGCTTTTTAGTTCCGTGCTCCGTTTTTTCAGTGCCGCGTGTGTGACAGTAATCGAGAAAAGACGAGGGATTACTTACACTCGCTTCTCATTTTCCTGCGTCTAATATGTCAACACAATATCTACATTAGACGAAAATAGTATCCTATGTTCAACCGATCAGAGCTTCCTCTATGTTCCCGAGTTAACCAGTACGTAACGAATTTTAGAGTTCAAAATTTAATAAGATGTGCTGTGTTTTTATAATGAATGGAAATCGAACATCGATACAATAATTTTTATTCGTTGCATTTTGATCAAATTCTTAGCAAGTCCTCCGATATCATAAATACATATCTCCTTTTATATCTCGACAGGAAGTGAGAGTAAATTAATCGAATATGAAAAAATATTATCGCAACAGAATCGATAAGGATTGATTGTACAACGCTATTATTGTAGCAACACGTAATATGATAAATTGCAAAATGATTTTACCTCGAAATAGGGATCTAATGTAATATGCTGTTTGTTAATGTGTTAAGTAATTATGTTCAAACGTGAAATTGAAAGAAACGTGACATTGACCGAGAGATGAAAAAGCGGTGGACACATACTTATAAATTTTGCGTCGTGAAATATCGAATATTGCATTTGCGCATCGATACTCATTTACAAGTGCTTTCTTCTTCGCAATTAAAGATCGATCGAAACAACGCATCGTTACGTTGCTTCTGACGCCCGAAATTTCGATGTTTGCTTGATAATTTAGCACATTCGTTTATTCCAAATAATTATACACTTTTCATACATTCAAATCGTAACGGAAAACTGGCTGCTAAGAGATCCGAAACGAATTTTTCTAACAAGTGAGATGCCTTATGTACCTATGCACGTAATTATTAGGTCGATAATGCTCAGCTGTCACGAATACGTGAATAAGACCGCGATTGTGTATAGTCGTTAAGTTTCCTTCGATGACAGGTCGTAGGGTTCATGAGATTCACAAAATTTTGCTCATAGGAACTGGAGCATAGACGCGTGTGCGAGCGCTGTCAGATATCACGTGTCAAAGTTAACAATATCGATCGTTCGAGTTTTATAAATTCCTCGGGCTATTTGGCCTGTACATATATTATATAGAAGTTATTTCACTAGTTTATGAGATTCTTAAACATAGAACTTTTACATTAATCGGTTCGGTGTGAGAAAGACAGTACAAAAAAGAACGCAATAACTTGTCAATCGAGTTGATTAAAAATTTCGTATGTGTATAACGTGACAACGTTGATTACTAAACTTTCAACACACGTTTCTTCATCGCAACGACAATATTTTACTCGATGTGTTATTTTACTCTTTTCCAGCCCCGAATCCGATAATCGAATTTTAGCGGCGGACTGAAAGACATTCGGTTCTTCGGAGGGAACAAAGAAAAAAGGCTCAGGGGATCGAACGAATTCCTCTTCCATTCAGTTTCGTCTCTTAACAGCATCCAACCTATTTTCTACCTATGATCTTTTGCTTTTCGCTTCAACAAGTTATGTATTCTGTGTCGTGTTACTCGAAGAACAGCATTCGTTAGTGACGAGAATTGGAACAGCCATTGCCCATAAGCGGAGTTAATACGAGACCTTGCCAATTTATCCTTGTAACCGAAACATGTGCCAGCTACGTTCTTGAATCACGTATTGTTCAAGAATCATCTTCGTGTCACTCGCGCAGGGTAGTCGCGTAAATGTGTCAACGAACAAAGAATTTTTCTCCAATTGTACGATGGGGAAGTGCTTTCCATCGATCCAGGAATCTAACGTGGTAAATCGATAACTTTGATTAAAGCTTGATCAGCTGGAACAACATCCTATCTTCAAGAATAAGAACGAGCTATAGGAACAAGCGAATGCAGAGAGCGACGGAACGGGAGAATGCACGACTGGCATCTTTGGACATGGGATAGATGATAGATCGCGAATGATGGGGTGGTAGAGCGAACAGGAAGCTGAAAATGGATTGGGTGCCTCGGCTCAGGTAGCCAGAGTCGACAAAGTCGCGGGCACCAGGCCGATTATACACTGCTGCTACCAAGCCTTTTCCTTCTGTCTGTCTCTCCCATTCTCGTTAAGATCGAGCGGAAGACTTCTCACGATAGACTAAATAGTTGCATCTTCTCGGCGCCGCGTTGTGCGAAAAAACTGATCGTGGTGCAATCGTCGTCAGTGAATTGTTAGTGAAACAGATGACCCGATAAGTTGATTTCAAAAAGAAACAAGCTTGTGATCTCTGATCCAACGGTATACATATTCTGACTCAACAAAAGACTGAACGTGTTGACTTTATCTTTTCAAAAATCGCTGCCTATAGCGTCCTTTGGAGTTCTGGCTGTCACTTATCAAGACAGGCACACATATCTTTTGGCATCTCGTGTAATTTCGTTTTGAACCAGTTGTACCTACGATCTTTGAGAAACTTTTGAGAAATATGAAAACCAAGTGTTAGATGCCCCGTTTCTGACCGTTATACATATTGCAAATATATACACGCGTGTAAAGAAGAATATATATTATACACATGTATCTGTATATACATTAGAGATATTCTTCCGCTGCCTAATAGAAGCATTCACGCATATAGTAAACAAGTTACCATTTTTTGAAAGATCGCGCGAAACTATCTTATAATAAAAGGGATAAATACAATTTCCACGAACTAGAGACAAGTTTGACTATAGGAAGAGAGAATAAATGAGCTTTAAGAAGAAACCATTGTTCGTCGTCTGTTTCCCCTAATGAAACTTGTAGTGAGAATATTGTTAACGATGTGCAACGAAAACTAAAGAAAGTAGATCGCATATTCGAAAATCAGTCAGAAGTGTAGTTTGAAGTGATCGCTACGGGGGTACGCAAGAGAGCAGGATGGGTTGTGGACAAAGCAAGATCGGGAACATCTATCCGAAAAACAAAAAGAACAAGAGCACCATCAGCAAGAAAAACGACGATTCCATTGGTGAGTAAACAAACGGATATTATCTTTTGTTCGCTGCTAAATTCGACGAGTTGAAAATTTTCATTTGCATAAAATATTTGAATTTATAAATTTCATTCAATTTCGTAGACATATTGTTCCGTGCGGTCTTATTGCTAGTTTGATAATGTGACAAACGAAGTTCAAGCCGCATTCTTTTATATAGGAAAATAATGATTAAATTGCTTTACTTTTTTACGTCCAGTCCCGGACGTAAAATCAATTGCCGTTCAATCGCATGACATCGTTAATAGTAAATTAGATTCTTGACCATGTAAATATGTAATAGCCGGTTCGACGAGCCCACTTTAGCACTTGACAGACGTGGGAGAGATCGACATTGTTCACGTAATTAACGTCGTTGCTCGTCAATCTGGGTCTACCGCATAATTGTTGACCCGATGACTGTAATTAAACAGATGCGTCGCTATCTGGGGCATCGACACCCATCGCGAGAACTCCTTCCTAAGAAGGTGATCGGACAGTCGTCTCTATTTACACCTGTGCCTGTCTTTATGGCAAAACAATTCATTTGCAACATGTGAAATTATATATAATCACCGTCCATAATTTAATTAAATTAAGTACACGATTTGCAATCATAATTATTGGAGATGTAGAATGTATTGGCTTATGACTGGATTTATTTTACTATTTTAATACTGATCGATAAAGTGCTAATGTTTTAATATTTATTGAAAATCCAAGAGTCGGAACTGCGAAGTTTATGAGGCATAAAGCGAAGAGCGTTAAAACCAAAAGATACTAAATCATTTTCGATGTTGTTAAACAGTAATTTTACTTACGACTACTTTGATCTGTGTTACAATGTTTTATTTAAGTTCGCAAGAGTACGTTGGAAATGAATGCCAATATTGCATCTTGTCAACAAGATTAAGGTTGAAAACTTCGTGTATTTTAAACACAATTCTTTAGGTTTCATAAACTTCATTCTTATAGTTACGTAAGAAAAAAATACACAGAAAACAGAAGCAATTTCATGCCTTGGCGCCATCAACTGTCGATCATCGTTTGTTGTGATTCTATTTTTCATTTTTAACAAAAAAAAACAACTTCGTCATTCATAAATACGATAGAGACAAGTTCTTATAGACATTGTACGATAACGATCGACCATAAGTTATCGAGTTTTTAATTTGGAATTACCTTCCAGAACAAGTGGAACAGACAAACGTCCATATTTAGATTTCGCAGATACATCTCGAGGCTAAGTCGCAATACTTGTATAATTACACTGTCAGCACATTCTTGTTTCTATTTATCTTATCTATTCACCTAATGATCTAATGCATTGAGGTTCTTCTACGAAATCCATATCTTTGCATGTTGCTGACTCGAGTGGGATATTGAACTTCTATCCAAGATATCTTTTAAGTAGAATCGAAATGTCGATTCATCAGGATGTAAGCACGTTTCTTAAAAATTATGCAAGTTTAATGTTACCATTAGACTGATGTAATGGACTCTTTTATAATGAATTTCATCTTCGCGTTAGCACCATTATTACGTCGTTTAATTTAGTAGCAATCGTTGACTCATACTCCAAAGCTCGTAGAAGAATCAGTTTTTTTAGTTAAGATATGTGTATATAGTGTCGTAATTAATCGTTGAGATTATCTGTGTTCTGCTGACTGAATAAAACTTAACACAGACACTTCTGAAAAGGAAACATAATATTAATTGCAGCTGGCATTGCGATCGTATGCAAAAATATGTATTTCCTTGTATTATTCATTTGACCAAAGTTTTCAGAAATCACAAATTGTCTGAATCATTGATGTTTCATTCTTCCCGTTAAATTTGCTGATTGGAAAACGAATAATTGATCAGCGATTTTAAGTCCGGTTGTGATGAAAAAAGGCGCAGATAAAATGTTTCATTGAACTTGTTATCGTGACTAATAAACTTATATTAAAATTATAATACGAGCTGAATAAAGCGATAAATATGTGCCGTGTGTGTGACTACGCGTGCGCCAACGATTGATTTTGTTCTTAACGTGTATCAATGAGGTAGATTAGGCTCTGGGTTAGTTAGGTCACGCAAGAAAGGAGCGTAACCTTCTGAACAGTGAGTTGACATTCAACAACACTATTGAAACCGTTGACACCTCAACACTGTTGAACCGTTCTTTCGCACCACCTGTTGTATTTCAAAAAACTGCTGAGAACAGCCGGTTTGATAAAAACTGGATGAGTTTCATCACTAATTTTCTTCCTTTATAAACATTCGCTGTGTCTGTCCATTGTTGCAGTTATAATTCTATAAATTTTTATTATCGCGTGTTCAAACAGCGCACCGTTTATTTCGAGTCGTGTTTATCGCCCCAATTTTGCTAAGTAATAAATTATTAACGACGATTAAGTGGAGATGGATTTTCTAATTCGTGGAGTTGCGCGACCCAGATTCGTTGACTCTTGGTTTTCCTTTCGTCGTCCGCAGCTGATTCTTGCACGAGTTTATCCCGATTTATTTACTTGTCTTTCTTTTTACGTTGAGTTTAATAGTTCGCATACGCGTAACTGTAAAACTGGGCGCGTAATATTATGTACTGAAATAAAGGAAAGAAAGGAAAAAAATAAATCAGAGAACCGCACGCGTCTTGAAATCGCATGTCGGATCGTGGTTTGTTGTTTACCGGCTTCGACGTCTGCGAGCTAAATATAACACGCGATAATTCTGATATTTATATCATTACGATGGCTTCGCTTACGGTACTTTGAAACTCTGTTGATCAGTTTATACACGCACCCAAGATTATGCATTCCCGGTTATACATTTAAGAGTTGTTTTAAATAATAGTTAAATCGGATCTTCCAAGATTATTTATTAGCAGTGTAACTCTAAGAGTATCAATACTATGTGCCACGTACACGTAAAATTATATGGAAATATATTCTGTTACGTCGCGTCGTAACAACATTGCGCTAAATATAAGAATCAATATACTGTATTGAAATCTCCTTACGAGATAAAAATCGTGGATAAGAATGTACGTAAATACATTTCTTATCGGTTATTCTTCTTGTGGCATGCGCTACATTAATAACGCAGGTACTTATTACTGTTTAAATCCTTATTCTTTTCTTTCTATCTAGTTCTAATGCAAGTATGTTTCGCCAACGAAAATTCGTAAATATTTGTCATTGTTATTTACGGAATCAAATACATAGGTACAGAAACAATATATACATATGTTCGGGCTAATTTTATTATAAAGCTTGGTAAAAATGAATTTTGATGTTTCGTAAATATGAAAATACATATTCATTCAAGGATTCTTTAATAAAATCATGAAATAACAAGGTATTTCAGATAATGATTCTTATTGTTAGTGATTTACTAGTAAAATTAATCTGCAATGTTATCTCTGTCTTATAACGCGCGGCAAGAAACTATCTTATATCTTGAAACATGTACAAAACACATAGATATGAAGTATGCAAGAGAAGAAAACATCTAATTAATGATGATTATTCAACAATTAAAATTACAAATTCGAGATAATTATGTCACTGTGCGTGCGAAACGCGCCAATTTTCTGCTAACCGTGAAAACATTGCGCGCGCACTCCGCTGCCAATTAACACCGTAGCAGCAGCGGGAACTGCGGGAACGTGTGACGGTTGACGGCCGCGAAACTGCGTGTTGCGTGCAGACGGTGGTTCATTTCGTCTTCATTTGTATCTCGAGACGGAGTCGCCAGTGTACACGAGAGTTCAGTCCCCACGGAGTTTAGTCGTTGTTTCGTCAAAGTACGCTACAAACCGGCACGTCTTTACTTGGTAAACAAGACAAGTTCCAAGGCCCCGGGCCGATATTATCGCGCTCGGTAGTAGAGCAGCTGACGAGTTGCCTATGTGATCACTGTCCGCGCCTATAAAAGGGCCGCGCCTCTTTCACATCAGTGTCTGTCTCTCGTAGCAATTTCGTGTGCTAGCATCGTTCGTTTTTCGTTGAAAAACATTCTTCCCGATATCATACTCGGTATTTATATCCGATATTGTTTTATCGATCGTTGTTAATCGTACCACTATCGGATACGTGCGAACGTTACAAACATCGCAAAAGTGAGGTTAAGTAACCGGCGCGCCATAGAACTCAGTCAATCGGTGACAGTGAACGGTTTCTCTTCTGCGCCGAGTCATTGAAGCCGACATTTCCTATCGGTGGAAAGGCCCAGTTCCATCAGGACGTCGGATTTCGAGAACAAGCAGAAAGGAGCGAAGATGTGGCTGAAAGTGCTTCGGCAAAATATATCGCATCTTGCCCGCCGGGCGAAAGGTAAGGTCACGTTTTCTTGAAAATTAGCGGTCGGGTGTAGTTACAGGGACTCTGAGCTATTTATATGCTTTACAATCTTCGTTGGACGGTTACGCGATAGATTAAAATATCCGTTGTGAATATTTTACGATCGGTGATGAATGCAGTTTCGTGATCTAAGCAAACGTATCATCCACGTGCGAACCCCGCCACGGGTAATTCTATCTTTGAATTAGGATACATTCTAATTTAAGCTCGTCTCGTGTTTCGGAGTCTTTCACAGAAGAGAATTGTGGAATGCGCCGTGACGATATTGCAGCTGCGTGACTCACAGCTGCTTCAGCAGAACGTATCCGGCTTTTGCATTGTTTCAAGTTTATTAACCCCCACGAAAAAATTATGTAAAAAGTGCGATTTATATTTAGATTAATAGTTGCATGTGACTCACATTAATTACAAATAGCATTCACCACGATACGCGGCATACGCATTAAGTTTCAAGCTGCTGTGAGTTAGAAAATAGGAAGTTATACATGTTCATTATGCAGTTGAACTTTTGCTTCTTAATTGTAAAGATAATCATTCCAAATTTCATCGATATGGAATTTTTAATTGCAACTGCTATAAGAGACAGATTACCCTCTCTAAAAAAATTTGTTCATGCGGACGTGATCTTAGTCAGGTTATGCCTTTTCCCGC